GAATGATTCCTGCCCAGCAGTGGGAGCAGGAACTGTGCTGCTGTGTTCAGCGTTTGGCCTGACATGGCTAGAGAATGGCTGTAATGGGGGTGCAAAAATGTAAGCACGGTAGATAGAAAGGTTCTGTCCTTTGGCATTTGGATTTTTTAAATATTAGGGTCTAATAACGATTTTGGGCTTTAATTTTGACTTCTTTTGGCATGGAAACATTTTTGAATATAAGATGGAAAAAACTTAAGAAGAAAGGCAGTTCCATCTTTTAAAACAGAAGCTGATAGAAACTATGAATGCATAGTGCTGAATTGACTTAATTATCACGAACGAAAGGATTTTCAAGGTAAAAGGTTCATAAATCATGAACAGGATGTTCTCCAGTATGGGTCGTTTCCTCTGCAATTTGCTCCTGCCAGAAAGGTATCAAGCCATTTCTCCTTTCAGTCAAATGTCCTCCTTTAGTCCCAGCCTGTCACCAGCTGCTGCTCCAGGTTTGCAGCTTGTTGGCAGTGTTCTCTTTGCCTCTGCCCTTCAGAATTTCAGTGTTCTGCAGAACTGTGCTACATTCATTCCATGTACTTGGAAAATGTTACAACTTCTAGTCTAAGCCAGACAGTGCAGGTTCAGCACTCTCAGAAATAACTGCTAATGGGTTTATGGCTGTAAGGCAGATGGATGGCACCTGGGTTTGAGAGTGGTGTCTACAAGAGCCCATCTGTACCCACTGCAAGCTTTAATGAGAACAACTTCCCCCGAGGTACCATTTATGAATGACTAAGAGTGGGTGTGACACAGACTAATAAACAATTTGTGTATCTCACCAAAGTCTCCAGCCACAACTGAGTACTGCAGTCTGATGCTGAATGTGAAATAGTCACTAGCTATTGTGGCAAGGACATGGAGAACTGATCTGAAATATCAGCTGCATGGCTTTACAGTGTTGGCATGTCTAGATTTATGGCAAAAATACTCCAGTTAGTCCAGCTCTCATGTTTTTCCAGCTACCAAAAATCTACCCATGGTTTCTAAATTTATTTCCCTATTTGACACTTTGATGACTGTTTTTTGCCATTTCAGAATCTTGAAAGTGAAATATTACTGGTGATCACAAATTAAACATTGCTGTTTTTCTGAGTATACAACCCCAAGGAAGCACTGCTGATTCTGTTATTCCATCCAGTAAATAAAATTGCTTCCTCCTTCCTGTTAGCCATTAGCTGTAAGTTCTGATGGAATTTCTGGACTGATGTTGTATAGTGCAACAAAAACAAAAGGCTCCTCAATCTGATTCCACTTTTACAGAACGTGTGAACATTTGCTTGCAGAACGTGTTTCTCATGAAGTATTTGCCACCTTCAGGTAGAATCACTGTCTTTAGAAGAGACTTGTTTTCTTTGAAGGAAATAATATGACTTGAGGCCAGAATTGCGTCTGTTTTTCTGTCTGGCTACACAGGACCTCCAGAGGGATGTGATCTCTGCTCATCTTCTCAAGCAGCTCTGGAGCTTCTCACTTCAGAGTACAGTCCTCCTTTTGCCCCATTTCCACTAGGACTTGCTGTCCAAGGAAAATCAGACTTGTGTGGAGCTGGCATATGCCAACAGGAAAGGCTGTTGCTCATCTGAGTGCTCCACAATGCCTTGCCACAACAGTACAGTGTGGAAGAACGGAAAGGGAAGGATCCGTGTGCTGATCCAGTTTCCTAGCTTTTGTTTGTGCCTCAGCAGACCGTGCATTTTCAGTTGACCTATGCTACTTACAGCTTTTTGGGAGCTTCCAATCTTGTTAAAGAGCCTGTCTGTCACAAGCCTTTCTCTGTGCAGCTTTTCCTGACCAAGTGGTGAAACTCTGGGATGTAACCAGCTGTGTCTTATTCGGTATGACAGCAATGAAACCATTTAAGCCACTGATGTAAATCAAATGTGATCTTAATGTTATTTCTAAACAGAAACACTCAACAACTCCAGAGACCAAGGTCTCACTTGATCACATGTAAAACAAACACATCCCCTTCATATATTTATGAGTATTTGGTTGCTGTTATTAGTCATGAGATTGTTACCTGTGTTACCTCTTTCCTGGCTCAAGCTCAGAGCAGCTAATGGTTGCACAACTACTGTCTCTGGTTATCAGTCAGGGTTTTGGTACTTCTCTGGGAAGAACTTCGATTGCTTTGCTTTAACAAAGAACTTAGATCGTTTTTCCCAGGAAACCAGAAGTAGCAATTTATTGAATTGCAAATAGGAGTGTAGATGTGGGTTCTTCACACTGCTCTCACAGCACAGCTAGGAGTTCAGGGGGTACCTTCACCTCCAGTGGTAACACACCCAGACTGCTCAAATGAAACAAACTGCTTTGTTGGAGTATTTTTAAAGTAAAAAAATGATTGCCTATTTGTGTTCTGAGGTTGCTGTGAGGAAAATAATCTCACTGTGGCAGTTCAAGCTTCCTTTCAATTTTCTCTGATTTAGAATTAAGGATTTGAAGCACTTTAGGATGTAATTGTTACCACCATAATATTACAGAGTTACTGACTTATTAAGCTCTACAGAACGTTTATTTGTTAATTGTATATTGACCAGAACAGCTGTGGCCTCTGGCTAACTAGGGCCACTAAGTATTGCTAAAAAAGCTCCTTTCCTCGGATAAGTGATCTTCTATTTCCACAGCCTAATTTGTATATTATCTATGAACGGTATATTTTGTCTTTAGGGTATTTTTTCACACTGAGGTTTTACATTTGAATAAATAACTATTGCATGGGAATGAGATAAATGCAGATGATTCTATTTAGGTTGCAATTACTAACACCTTCTAGTGTAATAAAACCATTAAAGAATTTATATTGGATGAGGCTCTCCTCCAGAAATTCTGTCTCCCTTTCTACTTAGATTAGGTTGAAACTGTTAAGACCAGCTGAGCTACTCCTTGTTTATACCTCTGGGAAGGAGAGGGGAAATTCACTCGCAGCCTGTTTTTTTCAGGTTGTGATCTGTAAAAGGTTTGCCAGACTCTGGTAACCTGTAGAGTTGCCTCTGCAAATTTGCAGCCAATATATGCATAAAGGTGATTTTTTTCTTGACATTTTGTCAAGGTGTGGTTTTCTTTAACCACTCCATGTTTTCTGTCTCCAGGTGTGGGTGGATGCTGGCACACAGATATTTTTCTCCTATGCCATCTGCTTGGGGTGCCTGACAGCCCTGGGGAGTTACAACAACTACAACAATAACTGCTACAGGTAATACTTGCCACACTTCAGTTTTGCATTTGGTTTCAGTGCCAGAACTGTCCACACACTGAGCTTCACTTGGAAGTACTTCCTTTATCCTTTAGCTGTTTGCATTAATAGTCATAAGCATATAGAATCACAGGATCATTAAGGATGGAAAAGACCTCTGAGATCAAGCCCAACCTATATCATCGAGTCCAACCTATATATGTCCAACAACATGCACATGTTTTTGTAGAAGAGAGATCTATAATGTTTCTTGTAACTGTTCAGAGGAACTCTTTTCCAGAATTTGGTGTTTTCATTCTTTCTTACCATATCCAACCCTTGCACAGCCCCAAGCCCCACAGTGCACACAGAGATACACAATCACATGTAGAAAATACAGAATTTTCATACATGTATAATTGCATGTGGGTGCATTATTTGATCTGTTTTAAAAAAATTCCTACCCAAAATTTGTTATTAAAAGTGACCTGAGGTTGGTCTACAAGCTCAGTCTCACTTTCCCCCATAGTTTCTAGGCCCCTACCCAGATCACAGAGGGAATGGACAGCATTTCATGGCTTATGTCTGTGGAAATCAGTAAGGGAATTGCTAATGACTTCCGTAGGTTTTAATATTTCCTGAATTAATGTCAAAAGGATATGACTCACACAAAATCCTTATTCCATGTTACTAGCATGGGCAGGAATATGAGCATTACTTTTTCCTTCTGGCATCAGTAGTTACTGAATTAGTTTTCCTACAGTTCAACAGCCATTACTCCAGGGCAGTGAAGGCCAGTTTGATTGTACTGATTCCATTATGGTCTCCAGGCAGAGAAGTATAATTTCATTTTCTGTGAAAGAACTAATACAGTCCAAAAGCTAAAGGTATGCAAACACACCACCCCCAACCCCCCAAAATCTAAGGATTTAAATTCTAAATTATCCATTTATTTGGAGATCTCAGAAGACAGTTTTAGGATATGGCTCCTTCTTTAAATGTCTTAGCAACAACTTGCTCTTCAGTCAGAGAAGCACTGACTGGTAGGACTGTCCAGACACAGAGCAGGTGGAGGGATTGGAATGCTGGAATCCAGGGAGACAGGAAGGGATCCACCAGCTGAATGTGTGCAGGGCCATCCAGCTGCAGTTAAGGGCACTTTGACATCTAAACATACAAAGTAACTTAGCAGCCACAAAGTTAGTCTTTGCTTATGACAGCCAAAATTCCAGATATCTGCTGCAGAAAGTACTGGAAGTCCCCTCCAACCCTCAGAGCTGATTCACCATAATGATGCTCCTACAGAGCAGCTGGCAATGAAAGTTTTCCCTAATTAGCACAAGTGACGCTTTAACAAAGGTGCTGCATCTTTTCTCTCTTATTTGATTTAATATTTATTTCTTTCTAGAAACTTGTTTGTCGCTGCCTCAAGGACTGCAATAATCCTTTTCCTGAGGTTTTGTAACTGATTTCAAAGAGCACTAGTTTGGATGTGTGAGCAGAGAGCTTACGTAATTTTCCTTCCTCTCCTCTGACCCTGGCAGCAGGGCCGGTAAAACACAGCCCCAGCTCTCCTCTAAAGCTCCTGAGCAAAATCCTGCAATGGAACACCTTTTGCTGAATCCAAGCTTCACCATTCCTCTCACAAAATAGTTCCCAGATAGAAAAGAGATTTTAATGTGTCCTGAAATGCAATTCTTAAGAAATCTGGAGAAAGGAGTAGGCCAATTGCGTGCAGAGCACAGCTGAGTTAAACAGGGCAAGACAGAGAAAACAGCTATGCAGTTGAAAACAGAATTAACTTTGTGTTCTAACTAGTACTCAAAAAAAAGGAAAGTCAAGCTGAGGGTTTGCCTCCTGCAATCCCCACTGTGTGTTGTTGGATGGTAGCAGCAACTTTTTGTGCTCAGTTTTGCTAAACTTTTTTGTCCTAAGGGAAAGTTGCAGTGGATTTGCAGGGCTGATCCAGCTCTGTGCTGGACACTGTGCAGTTCCCAAGCACAAGTCAGGGGTCAGCTGCCATGTGCCTGCTGTGGTACAGGAGAGAAGGGACTGATTTCACATGCTGTCAACAAATGGACAAAACATTTAAGAGCTGAAGATGCGTCCCTCTAGTCTAAGAGGGAAAAAGGAATGGGAATTGGTTTTGAGGGAATCCATAAAGGCAAGGAGGTAACTGGAGGGAAGCAAAAGGCTCTATGGTCTTTTCTCTAATCAGAGAAGCTCCTTCAGGATGGAAGAATGAATTTTCAGTAATGTCCTGCCTGTAAGGCACTGAGAGGAGAAGTGATGCATGTCTTGAATTATTCAGGTGATTGGCAGGAATTTCATTTGGAAGAATAAGTTTTCATAAAAATTTGAAGTTTTCCTTTCATTTGAAATCAGTTTGGGCTTCAGTTAGGCTCTGATGTCTTCCTACTGAGGGTGGTTATACAAAATTCAAGTCCTTCCAACAATTTTTGGGCATTTGTGTTTTAAAACTCATTGGTTTTCATAATCAATGGGTCTAGATCCCCCTCTCATTTTTCCTTCCCACAGCAGAAAAAAAGAGGCCAAACTACAGGTAACACATCTGTCTACAGGAAAAAAAGCCAGAAGGAGTTGAGGAGTTATTAGGATTCCTGCAAAGACAAAGGGAGGATGAAAATTAAAATTGGAGGTTATATTGTTATCAGGACAGGAAACACTGCTGCGTCCCCAGAGAACCTGTGGTTGGTCTGTGACTGCTTCACTGGGGATAAAAATGATGGAGCTGTGGTTGTATTATGTGAAAAAACAGGAACCTCACTGACTGGAAGTGATGGAAATCTCCTCAAGTTCCCTTTTGTCCATTTTTTTTGAGAAATGTGTGCCAACCCTGTAGATATTTTGTACCATGGTGCTGTGGTTTGTGAGACTTCACTGTGATCCTCTTCTTCAGTAGGATTGTCCAGCTCAAACCACTTGGGTTCTGCCCCCTTGAAGCAGGTCCTAGGGCAGGACACTGCCAGGGGCTCTGAAGGTGCACTGGAAGCAATGTGTCTCCACCTCCAGCCTTTATCTCATGTTTAGGAACCAGCAGCTCTCAAATATCCTGTGCCACATCACTCATCAGGAAAAAAAAATGTCTTGTTGTTTGGACTGCATTTGAAGCCTGGGAATTATCGAAAATAAATCTTATCTGCAGCAAACAGACTGTGCCAAATGGAGGCATCATCTGGCTGGTGAGCAGCTAGATCCATCCCACTGAAGCAGTATCTCTTTCCTCCTCCCCTCAAAGGATTAAAAAAAAATCTGTCTTTCTGACCTCTCTTATCGACAGTGTTTCATCGCACTTAGTTTTAATTTCTCAGCATTGAACTCCCCAGTTTCTGAGGTGAGAGAGGCTGTGGTGAAAAATCCCCCCAGAGCTACTTCAGAGCTGAAATACACTGAAAAGGTCAGGAAGGTTGTGTTTTGCTTTGTTTTATTTCTCTGCAAAGCGCAAAGAGCTCTGTGCTCCTGGTTCCTTTCTTTGAGATTGCTATTTTGCTTGAAAACATCCAGAGTGTATAACTGGCCTGGCTGGGCATAAATGCAGGAAGCAATTTCACATGAAAAGCACATAAAAACCAGGTTAGAATTCTGACTTTTCAGAAAGTATTTTAAGGGTGCTTTTTACCCCTGCCAATGAACAGTGTTAGACAGAGTCCATGCATGAAAGAAGTGTGAACATCACTGGACTGGTCCATGTCTGAACCTTGATCTACAAATGAAAGTGTTCATACTTATTAATTTCTGGAATATTTTAGCAATTTGTAGATGCTGTGACAAATCAAATTTTTTTTACTATGAAATGATTACGAAAACATAAAAGCTTCTTGAAATAATAGTTAAAATTAGCTGTAACTAAGTTGATGAGAGAGAGCCAAAGCCTCCTGTGGCCCAGTGGCCATAGTTCAGCTGATCCCTTACTTTGCAGCACAGAAATATTGGTCTGCTGCCTGTCAGTTGGAATGTGTGTGCCTGATGCTCAGGTGAGTCCAAGTCAGTATCAGGAAGAGCTTTGGACAGATGTGGGAGGCAGTGTAGAGCTTGTTAGTGAAGGAATAAGGGGCTGGAACTCATCACTGCACTTTCAACTTCATAAACCGATGAGATAAAGTTACAGGATAAAAATACTAAATGAAGCAAGCAGCAAAGCAGAAAGATTAGCAAAGAAGTTTTTGCAGGAATATATGGCAGGACAGGAATGTATTAGTTGTCTCTGATTCTCAAAAAATCCCTACAAATCTGTGACAAAGGTGTGAACCATTATTGAAGCTGTGGATTCAGAACCTGGTAGATTTTACAGGACCCTTTCTTCTCATTGATAGCTTGCACAAAAATTTACTTGTGAGCTGTAGTAGGATGGGAATAAACCAGACTAAGGCATAGGCTTGAGACAGCTACAGGATTGCCTTCTGTTTCACTGCTTTAGAATCCTAATTTACTTTCAGACATCTGGGTTAGATTATTACTTTCTCAAGCACACATCTCTCTCTCACGGTAAACAGTCTTAAAAGACTGACTGTCATCATAAATCATTCCTGCCCCATCATCTGTCATGCCTGAAGTGCTGTCTGAGAGCAGGATGAAATGATATTTCACTGAGCCCTGGGGAAAATCACACCTTTCTGCAAGAGTGTCTTCCCTTTTTTAAAGTGATTTACTATTGTGACGTTTCCAGTCTGGGGAAAAGAAATCCTTCTTCACCTTGGCCTTGTCATGGTCCTTGTTTGATGTGTAGGATACGTATGCCTTGAGAGACCACTGTCCCTGCACTGTCTTTGCCTACTTGTTAGGCACATTTTGGGCATGCACACACTTCCTAGATTATGTATGGTGCTTTGCATTCCCACAGCTTCTTAAAAAAGTTCATAGATGAAACTGAAGTGGTATTTTGTATGGATATATATTGCCAATGTACCGTAACTGGAATAGAAGTAGCTAAGATCTGACCATAGGAATTTTTTTTCCAGGAAACAAATGATACCATTTTTTTATATAATTTATGAATTCATATCCTCTGGAATACATTATTACAGCTACTATGAAGAAGTTGTTCTTAACACAATTTTTAGAACAGTTTTCCCTGTTTTTTTCAAAGAGTCTATTGGAAAACAGCAAGTGAGTAGCAACAGGTTTGCAATTCCATCAGTTAAAGCACAAGCAAGGGTATTATGACAGTATGGCTGATTGCTCCCAGGCATAATATGTGTTGGGATCTTACTGTTAATGAGCAACTTACTGTCCATTTCTGCAGCCTGGGGTTCTGTTAGCCCTGTGGCTCAGGGTATGAAAGAACCCTCTGCTCTGGAGATCAACTGCAGTGTTTTTTATTTATATTTTCAGAGACTGCATCATGCTCTGCTGCTTGAACAGTGGCACAAGCTTTGTTGCTGGTTTTGCTATCTTTTCAGTTCTTGGATTTATGGCTTATGAACAAGGCGTGCCCATTGCAGAAGTTGCAGAATCAGGTAAGTTCCAAAACCAGTTTGCTGAGTTAACAAAAAAATGCTCAGAGGTTGTGGTCAGAACACAGTCTGTACCATGGCTTATGGATAAAATGACTCATTAGAATAACTACTGTAAGAAAAGTTCTTAACTATTTTTATGGTCGCACATTTATGTGCGAAAAATATTGATGTTACTGTGCAGAGCTCCAAATTCACAGAGTCAAGGAGGCACTGTAACACACTTACTGCAGCTGAGCATCCAGAAGATTGTTTAGCAGACATACATTGCTCAGTTATGAGTGTTACATCCTCATGAAAGGAGCATTCTGTTTTCTTTCAATGAGACAGACTGAAATCCACAGATATTTGTCCCTTCTGAAAAAGGTGCTGCTGTTCAAGTAATGAGAAACCAGCTTTCAGGAGAAATCTTTGAAAGTTCTCCCAAGTCTTGCCTAATGCATACTATGCAAATACAAGTTTCCAATAGTCAGACTGCTAATGCCCTCTCCTGATGTCAGTGTTCCCCAGGGATGTACACTGAGGCACTCCATTGATTAAGCATAGAAGTTCTTTTTTTGAGCCTGGAAGGGCACAGCTCTATGAGCAATTAACTGTCTACATTTATTAACAACACTTGGAGTTGGGCATCCAATGAAAGTTAATTGCTATTTAACACCTTTGTGGATGTAATATCTTTAAGTGTCACTTAAAACTCATCAAAATAAAAAGAAGAAGAGTGCTGCCCAGAAAGAAAGGCAGTGTAATGCTGAGCTGTTGGGGAGGAGAAATGACTCTCCTGGTGAAATGACTCTCAGGATTGGCAGGAAAACTGCAAAGAGCTTCACTGATACTCTCATGGGAAATATTTCCTTTCCTAAAGGCCTCAAGACAACTGGCTTATACTGGTTTAGAAAATGTAAAGAAAACAGTCGAAAGGTGACAGTAACTCTGGAAATTATAGGAGCTTCTAAATACTGTTCGAAAGGAAAAAAACAGTAGTGTGTGACAGGTCTTCAGTGAAGTTATTGCAGCAGGAGCACAGAGGTACTCCTTTATTGGCCTGGATACTGCCTTTGGCCCCCTGCTTTGAAAGCTGGCAGATTTCATTGAAAGCACCTGAAAAAATGGGCACAGTAAATAAGAACAGGAAAACATGAGCTAAGTGAGTTGGTGTCTCAGCAGAACTTAGAAGCTAACAATACTGTTGCAAAAATGTTCTGTTTTGAGATTCTGTAAATATGCAGCCAGTGAACTGATGTTACACACCAGCAGCAGCACTCAAAGGCTCAGAGCAGAACGTGAACCAACCAGTGGATGTTTGCCTTGCACCAGGCATGGCTCCCAAGATGTAGCTCTTCCCATTGATTTGTTCTTGCACAAGTTGTAGATTCAGTGCTGTCTTAGGGGAAAATAGAGATTGGAGGATATGTTAATACATCTACGAGACATCGCAGGGCCACATGCTGTGATTTATTCAGAGATGTTAGAATTGCTGCACATTCAAAAAAAAAGGAGAATATAAAGCACAGTGATGTCTTAACACAACTTCAAACATTTGGACAGGGTGAAGGCAGAGCTGATGCGCCAAGCAAGTCTTCATCACTGGTTAAGCTCATCACCAAATGTTAAGAGTATGGGAGATGTAGAGTTTGACAAGGTTTTCAGTCTTGCATTTAGCTCCTCTCACCTGCCATAAAAGAAGTATCAAGCTGTGTTGAGTTGACCCTCACCAGTGGCTGAGCGTCCACACTGCTGTTAACTCACTCACCCACCCCAACAAGAAAAAAAAGTGAGAAAACTGGTGGATCCAGCTGAAGACAGTTTAATATGTTGTGCTGTGTGAGCCCTGGTCAGCAATAACCACAATGTTGGTGTCAGCAATGCTGTTCCAACCCACAGCACTGCACAGGACTGAACTCCATCTCAGACAGACCCACCACACAAGTGTAAGCTATTTTCTTTCTTCCCTTCCTTTTCAGGACCAGGACTGGCATTCATTGCTTACCCTAAAGCTGTTACCATGATGCCTCTTTCTCCTCTGTGGGCAGCTCTATTCTTCATGATGCTCATATTCCTTGGATTAGACAGTCAGGTATGAAACCAACACTATTTAAATGCTTTGGCACATTCCCTAGCATGTGGATATCAACACCTAACCTGCTGGAAGGCCAAACCCTAACTTAATTCTTTGCTTAAGAGCTTTGATTCAAGTTCCTAATTTAAATCTTAGTTATGTGATGCTGGAGGTTCCTTTATGATTCACTGTGAAGGCTGGTTCAGCTTCATCCCAGCTTTCATTATTAACATGGAAATCAGTTTGAACTTAAATAGGGGTAGTTAAAATTCACAGTTCAGCAAAATACCAGTGTGTCTTCTTTTCCTGTTTTTAAAGCACTTTGCAATGAATTTTGAAACTGAATATCAGATAGTGATAATGTAATTTTCTATGGCATATTTTTACTGCAAGATACTGTAGCAAGAAATGTATAGTTATATCCTGCAGCAAAGGGGCAGCATTGAAGTTGTCTTCCCTAGGTGACTGTAAAAATTATGAAAGGTGTTTGAAGAAAAATGTGGAGGGTTGGAATTTTAGCATGCAGCTCAGCTCTTGGTGTGATTGGGTTCAGAAAGGTTATGATTGCATATTGTAGAATAAAGCTCACCAGTGCTTATTTTGCAAGACATTTCCGATCATTAAACTTAATACTTTAATAACTGCTCTTTTTCCTGATCTAACCATTTTTAAAAGACTGGCTTTTTAAACAAAAAAAAATGGTGATCAACTCCTGAATTCTGCTGTTGACTGTCCCAGTGCAGCAGGCTTTATACAGCCTACTTTGGGGTATTAATTTTGGTGCCTATTTTGGAAACCTTGCTCTGGAGCCCTGGGTCAGAAGCTCAGGCCTCTTGCTTTCTGCTGGTGTTTCAATACAGTGAGCATATTCCTGCCCTTGTTCATGAGAAGTACCTGGCTTGGGCACTCAATAGCTTTGTGGAATTTCTCTCTTCCGGTAAATGGAGAGAACTTCTCTGAAAACCTGCTATTCCTTTAGCAGAGATTGAAGGTGCCACTGTGTGTCACTCCTTTGAGTGGCAAAAGCGCAGGATGCTGCAATCTCATGAACGGTTTGTACATTATCTCATTCCCATTCAAGCCACATTTGAAAGATTTAATTTTTATTTAATCCATCTACTACAGGGCAAATGCTTTCTGAGGTAATATTAGTGGATTCAGCTAATTGGATTTGGTGGTAGACTGGAAATCCATAGCCTTGGACTTCTCATTTGGAGCTTCTGCTTATTGAGTGGCCTCAGAGGTCATCCACTCCCTGGATGAAAACCTAGAAGGGTATTTGAAGTGTTTGGTAGCAAGTCCAAATCCTAATGCCAGAGGAGACACACACATTTCATTCATATTTTCCTGTTTTTGTTGTAGTTCGTGTGTGTGGAAAGCATTGTGACAGCTGTTGTGGATATGTACCCAAAGGTGTTCCGAAGGGGTTACAGGAGAGAACTGCTCATTCTCGGCCTCTCCATCGTGTCATACTTCCTTGGCCTAATAATGTTAACTGAGGTAAGAGTGCTTTGCTGTACTGCTGCAGAGAAAAGGAAATAGGTTTCTGTTTATAACCGTAACAGGTAAAACACAAGAATATTTGCCACAGAGAAATTTCCTTGTCAGGAATCTGACTACAAAATACTTGACTGTTCTCAGCAACAGTGCAACATATGAAATATGAAATACATCCTCAGTTTTTCAGCTGAGCTTAGGAAATATTTTCATCAAAAATACATAGCATAGTCAAGGAAGTTCCATCTGCTTTGCACCAGCCAACCAGATGCACTCAGCATGGTTTCTGCTTACCAGACCAGTCTGAAAACAACTACAGTTTGGATCAAGAGATCAATAAGGAAGATGAAGTAAAGCAAAAATAGTCAACTAAAAGATCTTTCATTTTTACATCACCAGGTCAATCAGTATAGCCAGTCTCTGAGCAGAAAGGTTATTTCCAAGCAAACCAGGATGTTTGCTTTGGAATGTTCTAAACCAAAAATCCTGAGGGTGTCAATCCATCCCAGCAGACTATGATGTCTGTCCCCACTGTGTTTGGAAGCCAGGCTGGGGAGGGACTCTGGCATCCTCTGGCACTTGGTACTTCAGAGTCTGCTTTACAGAACACATTGTATTGACAGCCTCCTTCACTTTACCCTCTCAGGACAGGAAGGAGGGGGGCAGGAACCACACTCTCCCCACATTCTTCTGCTGACTGGGCCATCAGAGCCTCCCTGTATCAGGCAGTGAGGCAAAGAGGCAAGTTCCATGCCTGAGGAGCTGTAGGATGCAATGCCCAAGGAACCTGCCTGGCTGTGCTGTACTGCCCATGCAGGGCCATGATGTGTCTGCAGATCCATAGTCCTTAGACTATGTGTTTTGTTACTGAGAATGAGCAAATTTCATCCAAAAAGGTGCTTGGCCATTGTAAGGATGTTAGTCTGTTGTCCTCAGTAGGCAAATTTTTACAGTGAGAACAATAAACGAGCTAATCAGAATATATTACCTTTAGATACACTTTCAGGGGAAGAATAACTGAAGATGGTGAGGAAAACAGAGACTAGGACAAAATGAAACTTTAATATTTTAGTGACAGTTTGTGCCAGAATAATCAGATCTCTTTCTCTGTTAAGAAATACCAGAATCATGTCGAACAAATGCAGTTGAACAGAAGTTTTGTATACTCCAGGGAAGGAATTGAAAATTCACCACAAGAAAAATCATTAACTTTATTGAAAGGAAAAGTCTGGTTCAAGTAACTGGACAAAGAGGAGATGATAAGTGCTGTCATTAAAAGAGGTGATGGTTGAAGTGAGTTTTTAGAGAAGTTGCACAGACAGCACTTGGTAGCAATTTTATCTACTATCTGTACTTGACTTGCCATGGAAACAAGTCACTTACAGGCATTAGCTGCATGTGACTAGCTCTCTGGAGATGTATGTATCTCTTGGCAGATTTCAGTCAATTTAGCAGAAGTTTCAAAGATGAAAATTCAATGTTCATGAAAGTTGGCATCCAGATGGAGAAGTCCTAGAAGTGTCCTCATTCAGAAGAAAATAGCATGAGTTCAGTCTTTCCTAAAAACCAGAGAATTCACAAAAATAAACTGTAGCCCAATGAGTGCACAACAGATAAAGGCTCACAACCATCTGTAAGACTTGAGTCCAAATCAAGCGTCATTAACTGTGATGTGATGTTCCTGGGTCACAGAAGAATGATAGGGAAGGACTGGACAACTGGAGTATTAAAGATGTGGTGGACTATAGCAGCACAATATAGAAAGTCATCCATGTAGTAGTCAACATTTCTTCTAGGCATTGAAAAAAATTAGGAGTGAGAAGTATTTGGATGTGGAACTAAGCACTGCAAATGTGCTGTAGACATAGAACTGTTTCTTGCATGCTTTGGGGAAGTATTCCCAATTGAGAGTAGAATTGACTATAGTTGACTATTATCTTGTCCTATGACTGGACAGGGTCATAATCCCACTGAAATATTCTGTATATACACCAATCCAGGGTGTAAAAGATGCCCATGAACAATTAGGCTGAATGCTAAGAAAGATTTCTATCTATGAGAACAGGGAAGTTCCAAGCATTGGAGCAGAGCAACACTATAGGCACCAATTTACTTGTAATCATTCTTGCCCTCAGTAAGATAAATTGTCCTTTCTGTGTTAAATGGGAAGTCTTGGAATAATTCCTCCTACAGTGCAAGTGTTGAGAAGGGCACTGCAAGATACATTATTAAGATGTACAGGCTAAAAGAAATATAAGCCTGAAGAGTGAAGAGGAAGCAAGTTCTCCAAAATGACAGGAACATTCTTGCAGGAGTGTTGCAGAATTGTTGGTTGCTCTCTAGGTTTCCACTTTGCTCAGGTATTTGCTGAGCCTCACCATGAGTGCTTTGCAGTAGAGATTTAGATTTCTCTAAGTTTTTAGGATTCTCTTTCATTTGCAGAAAATTGTGAGATGTGATGGATCACATGTGCTCCCCAAACAGCATCACATGCTAAGAGAAGAGCTGATTTCCAGCCCCTATTTCCTTCATGCAACTTTCTGCAGAGAAGGATGTCTTAGGATTCTTTTCTGTCAAAATGTTCTATTGTGAATCTCCTCCTCATTATAATTTCAATATCAAATGCATATGTGATAAAAGATTAAGTATCTTGCATAGAAAGTAGTGTAATATGATTATATAATTTTAATAGTCAGGTTATCCATAATGTTCTTGATTGGATGATTCTTATTTATTGGATGTATGTCAAATAGTAATGACTCATTTCAGAAATGTGGCTTAAAGGCTGTGAGCTACATTCACACTTTGTATGTCAGTTTACTCATTTTACAGTCCCCAAACCATCGGAAAGTGATTCTAGTAGGTACAGATTTTGCCTTCTTTGACCACATTTTAACTAATTCTTGTACATATTAATAGCACAGACAGAGAACCAAAGCTGTGCATTTTCATGTGCAGAGATCTGGGGACCAGAAACACCCGTGGATGCCTGCAGCTTGATGTGATAACAAATGAAGTTAAGAAAAGCAAGGAGGTGGGAGAGCATTTTGGAAAGAAGTCAAAAGTAGTTCTCTCCACTCCAGATTTACTACCCTAGAGCAAATGCACAGTTAAAAATAAAAAATCTTTCACAATAAGAAATCACTGAGAAATGAATAATCTTTGTTCAGGAAGGAACCAACTTGAGTAGGAAGATTGCCAGGGAACCAACAGATTGACTGTGTAATTAAAGCATATTTGCTATGAAATATTCCCACTGGTGCCAACACAATATTTTTTTTTTCCTTTTTCTGTTTTTGTCTTCCAGGGTGGGATGTATGTCTTTCAGCTGTTTGACTCTTATGCAGCTAGTGGCATGTGCCTTCTATTTGTTGCCATATTTGAATGTGTCTGCATAGGCTGGGTGTATGGTGAGTGGCTGAAAATTGCTCTGGTCTTCACTTTATATGAAAGTTTTCTATTTGCATAAAAGCAAAGTGAAATCTTAAGTGTAGCCTTATAGAGTACAGCCTTCCACATGTCTTTCAGCTGTTTGACTCTTATGCAGCTAGTGGCATGTGCCTTCTATTTGTTGCCATATTTGAATGTGTCTGCATAGGCTGGGTGTATGGTGAGTGGCTGAAAATTGCTCTGGTCTTCACTTTATATGAAAGTTTTCTATTTGCATAAAAGCAAAGTGAAATCTTAAGTGTAGCCTTATAGAGTACAGCCTTCCACATTCCCATGCCTAAATTCAGGAATTGAATGCCTTTTTTTCCCCAGTCTCAATAACAGAGATAATGGAATACATGTTTATTTTTGCCCCCTCGGTCCTACTCAGGAGTGACCTCCACCATCCTTCACATGGAAGTCCTTAGGTGCCTTGGAGAGTAGATGTGGCCATAAGTCTATTTCTCTCACAAGTGGTCTGTGCAGGACATGTTCCCTTCCACTACTGACCCTCCCAGAAAAACCCAGGGAAGCTGGAGTTTGTGCCTCATTAACACAAAAGGGACACAGTGGTGTCCCTGCTCTGCTGTTTCTGTCTGGCAAGGGAAAACCCTGGCAGTGCTGGGAATGCTCTGGCTTACACCTTCAAACAGTTGCAACCTTTGCCTGCAAAGGGTGGACAGATCACATGTGTGCATCTAGGGGTTCACACATCAGCTTGTAGCACAGATATATAGATAGATAGACATAGATATAGATATAGATATATACACAACTTTTAGCTGGGGTTGTTCAGACTGTTCCTGACCAGAAGCCCTTTCTGTCTGACAGCTCATCCACTCCTCCCTGCTCTTCATATTAGTCAGACACAGGTGTAGGCAGCAACCTCTGCCACGAGCATGGAGCAGACAGCAGGGAGGTTTGTCTCATTAGTTTTCACAGCACTGTCAGGGACTATGGTTTTCTGTTTGCTGTTTTAAATACTGATCTGTACCACCTCTTACATGTCTGTTCTACATCTCCTCTTCCTTTGCTTTTTGGGGCAGGCAGCAATCGCTTTTATGAGAACATTGAAGATATGATTGGGTACAAACCCCTGTCATTGATTAAATGGTGCTGGATGGTCTTAACTCCAGGTATTTGTGCAGTAAGTACAAAATATCCAAATCACTTGTTTTAGACATCAAGAGGTTTTACCGTGCACATTTTTATACTTTTGCTGCTGCTAATAGCTGAGTAAAACACCTCTGGATTTGTAGCACATATTTCAAATCAAGCCCACTCTGTAGGACCTCTACAAATTATTAAATGTTCTGTGAATTGTGAGAAATCTTAGTATGTACAATCATAGGAAAAAATAGTCCCAGGGCCCTAAATGAACATTTGCCAATACAGTGGAGGTTTGTTTCACTGCATTGCTAGTACACCTTGTGTGTATGCAGCATAACTCAAGCTCTTCCAGTCTTTGTCCTCTTGCTGCTTTAGTCCCCTTTCTCCTCTCTCTTTGGGTAAGGAGATGTTTTTCAAAGGAAACAGGGCATTTTTACTTCTAGCAAAAGTAGTAGAAGAGGCCAAAAGCCCATCTCATATGCATGAAGAAGGGGAAGGAACTTGTCTTAGCAGAAGCTAGCAGCACTGGTGTCAGCTCTGCCCATCTGCTGTGGCTGCAGAATGGGGACAAAGTTACAAAAGAAGCATGCTCAGGTTGCCCTTAAACTATGCTAACACCTACCAATTGTCCAATATGCAAATGATAGCAGCTGCAAACCCACAAGTGCTGGGACCCCTGGAGATTCAGGTTCCCTTGAGCTCTGCCAGTCCATTTACAAGCTTGGGAAGATTTCAGACGCATTTCCACCAGCTAAGAAATCAACTTTATATCTCTTATTCTTGTACACTCATTTCACCACTTTGGAGAGAAGTATGTGGTAGCTTTTTTGTATTTCATAAATTTAAATGGTCCAAACTGCTTGATTAGACACCTGTCAAATTTAGACAGATCTATTTGAGCTTCTGGGAGGATGAAAGTGTTGGCCTGCAGAACTGCAGATACACACAGTGGATTAAGGCAACTTTGAAAATTTTGGCTTTCCTTTTTCATCCTGACAGGATGGAGAGAATGCAGCTTGTGAGACTTAATCACAGCTGGTTCACGGTAGCAAGACTTAATCTTTCCTGCCCAGGTACTGTTTGCCATCAAAGTGCAGGTTTTATTGTCATCAAGAGGTAAATAGGATTTAAACTTGAAAGGTTGTTCATTTCTGTGGGAGCCACTGAGACATGTTATTTAAGCTGTACATAAAAGAAGATATTGCTGTTGGGTTTTTTCTCTGACTGAAGAGCTTACCTCTGCTTTCCCTCCCTAGGGAGCCTGGCCTTGCCTAAACACTCAGTCACTTTCTTCTTACAGTCAGGGGTTTCTCAAATACTACTAATAATATCTCTGCTTGTTTCAGGGAATCTTCATCTTTTTCCTGGTGAAATACAAACCTCTAAAATACAACAATGTGTATATATACCCTGACTGGGGCTACGGCATCGGGTGGATGATGGCACTCTCTTCCATGGTCTGTATCCCTTTGTGGATCTGCATTAAGCTGTGGAAGACAGAAGGCACTTTCATGGAGGTGAGATATATTTTCAGATGAATGATGCTGAAAAAAAATGGGATGGGAGTGTGAATCCTCATACTTGAGACTAAGCACCGTTTAATCAAAGCAACAATGCCACATCCTTGTTCCAGTGGTAGCCTAGGTTAGGCCTCACAATCACTGCTGGAAAGAGGGATTTGAACTTTCTCTGTTCTTCTTAATTCCTGTTGGGGTTTTTTGCCTTCACTGACTTGAGCCTGGAGTAAATAAACCAAAACTATAGCTTTCAGGTGCTCTGCTCAAGCTCGATTTATAGCTTCAAGTGTCTGTAACCTCAGCTACATCCCCCAAGGTTTGTAACAGCCATTCCCTTCGGTCAGGTCAGGTCAGCTGCCTTCTTTCCATGGTTTTGGTAACTAATGCTTATGCTGCCAGGATTTTCCTTCAGGAGCTGGGTAGCAAACGCTCACGTGTGCTTTCTGCACAGTTTTCCCGATTGCAGCTCTCAAAGTGAGAAATTAGCAGCAAATAGAGAGATAGTCAGTGCAATTAACTGACATTTGATATCAGGTTAGCTCAGGTCTAGGCTGAGGTTAAGATCATTAAGTGTATGATCTTTAAACTTGAAAAGTTGTTCATTTCTGTGGGAGGTTCGAGGAAAGACAGTGAAGATGGCAATAATGGAAGAAACAAGTATGTAAACTTATTCAGCTGTTTAGGATTTCTCATATTGCCGAAAAACCTAGTTATGTCTCCATTGCAATTACTGCATTCAGCTGATAAAACACAGCCTGGAGACTACCTAGGAAAAATCTTTACTGTGGGTATATAAACAAAGAATTAATTGTCCATAATACAGTTTTCTTAGTGTGTCAAAAAAAAGGAAATTTGCACCAATCTAAACATGAAATATTTCCTTAATGCATCACCCTTGCCTCTCTCTGCAGACTTTCAAGTGTGTAGTCTGCAGCACTGCTGACAGGCTGTTATCTTTCCATATATCCACAATGAGAGGATCTTTTTATCCCAGTTGGGAGCTTCTTGGGAAGCTTCTTCCTGCAGCATCTCTGTTCCACAGGCTGTGAGCAGCAGCTTTGCTACAGACGGTATTGATAGAGAAGAGAGTTCTCAGATGAGCATGGATATTTTTCTTTTGTTCCTTATGATAGCTTAATAGGCTTTGGCAGCCTCATGTTTAGTTACTTTGTCCAGTGCACACCCTTCAACTGTGCCATGAGAAACAAAATATACCCATACAACAGGCATTGTGCTAAGTTTCTTCATGGAAGGGCATGTTGCTGTACATCAGAATGAGAATTCACTTTGACTTTGGCTTTGCCTTCATTCCCTAGCCTTTGGTCTAGAGGGATTTGTCCAGAATTGTGCAGCATACAGGCCCATGGATGTGCCTGTAACAGGGAAACAAGAAGCAGACATGCAAGAGAAAAGGCTTTTGTAATCACTCTGTTTATGAGATGTGTGTCTGTGGCCAAGAAAAAAATAATGATTTCCATTTTCTCAAATTTTCTAGAAATTCAGGAAGTTGATCACACCTAGCCCAGATCTGAAAATGAGAGGGAAGCTTGGAGGAGGAGCCTACCTTGCAGCAATAAATGACTGCGATGCCAAACTGAAAGGAGACGGCACCATTGCAACCATTACAGAAAAGGAGACACATTTCTGAAAGAACTATCTTTTTTGTTTTATCTTTTTGTATAAATAAATAAATAAATTCACTTAATTATAGAGGCTGGCTTGTTTTGCACAAAATTTTATTAACCAGTTAATTTTAAAGTGAAAATTGTATACTTGTTTAAAAGTGATTTTTTTAAATTACTATACGAGTAATGATTATGTAAAAGACAAAGAAATAGTATTATATGGTCTATTAGTGATGACTTCTTGTAATGTGGTGATTTCAGTAAATGTTTTTTTAGAAGTTAGAGGGACCTGTATAATGTGCTGTAAAACTTTTCTACTTTGATTTCTGGCAGGTGTAATGTTGTATAGATCTCTGCATTCTAACCTGTAAGCATTTCAGACCATTTCAGCTTTCCATGTATGTATATAAAGGGGACCAGAATGTCCTGTTGTTTGTTTTGGGAGAAATGGTGAGGGGATGGGGGAGTGACCTGTAACTGCTGTAGCATATTGCTGTCTGTCTGTGGCAGGATCCAGAGCCCAGTGGACGCAGTGGGACCTTTCCCAGCCGAGGGCAGTGGCTTTGGCTCCACACAACCCAGCCCAGCCCAGGGCAGTGATGGGCTGAGTCCTGCCTCTGCCAAGGCTCTTCGTCCAGCATGAGTTCTGTGATGCCTCAGCTGCTCTTGTTGCCTTCCCTCCACCCTCTGCTGGCTTCAACAGGTCTAAAACTGTGGTGGAATGGGCTCACTTCTGAGTCACAGTTTTTCTGGAGATTAGATAGAGACTGTTTCTGAAGGGCTCTGTATTTTGCTGCTCCTTTAAGTTAATGGTCTCTAAGAGGATGTACGCTGCTTCAAGAGACCCCTCAAACCTTTTCATTTTCTTTAGTGCCAGTACTTCATTTTGGCTGGCACTTCCCATTTCCTGGAGTGAACTGTGCTTATCTTTGCTCATACAATAGGAGTTCAGGGTTACTTTATAGATGTGGAGATGTTTCAAGGAAAAAAAGAACAAGTTTAGAGCTCTGCATATTGTGGCCTCTGGCTCTCACTTTATCTGTTTGCCAGTCTGTCTTTCTGCACGACTACTCATTGCCCTCAAACGAAATCAAGAATCCTGCAATGGCAATGTGTAGCACTACATAGCTTTTCTCAAGGTGGGACTCTTGGATCTATCCTGTGCAGGGCCAAGAGTTGGACTTGATGATCCTCGTGGGTCCCTTCCAACTGAGGATATTCTATGATTCCTCTTCCAGGCACTTTCTAAATACCCTCAGGTTAGGTACTGATTCTTCTACCCTGAATGGTATTGAGGCTTGCACTGAAGTCAGAGTAGGAGCTTTCTTAGTGGAAGGTTGGAGTAGTGGTCCTTTATCTTTGCAAGACTTCCAGGAGGTCATTTTTATATGGTGCAGGTGAAAGAATTAAGGCAGGGATGTTGTGACTTCTCTGTGTCACAAAGGCAGCAGTATTGGGTTTGTGATATCAGGCCCTTTTATTCTATCATCTGTCAGAACTGACTCCCTCTGATTTAAAGCTGATTTTGTATGTGAATCTAACTGCCAGATGGTTGTTCCATGGGCTGTGCAGGTGTTAGCCCCAGAACCAAAACCTCTAGACTCTCTCTTGGGTTGGTTTCGTTTTTTTCCCTGACAATATTCCAAACACTACTATTTGTTTTGGACAATTTTTCTTGTCCTGTTTTTGTTATTTAATGGTTGTATGAGAAACCTGTGGAGGAATACTGTCACTGTGTCTCTTAATATTGGCTAGAACTGTACATGCAGTCAACGTTTCTTTGAGATCTTACAGTTACTTCTTTAAAAAGCATTTTCATAGAATCTCTTTGTCTCAAGTCATATCATTAAATCTAATAGATCTATTTAATTTTACTTTATCTTATTTGTACTTTTTTGGGGTGTGGCAAGGTGGACGGCTAAGAGAGAACTTTTCTACCACAATTCTACTTCAAATACTCTTAAGTCCTGCTTGCCTTCGCATGCCTATGTTGTGAGGTGCTTAGGACAGGACATTTAGAAGGAACCTGCCTTTGTGACAGCACAGAACCATCACCTTGTGCACACTGGCCTCCCTCAGAGGGAGCTGGAGGTTACCAATGAAAAACACAGTTCCAGGGGAAGATGGAACTGGAAGACAAATGCTCCCAGAATTGAAACCAAAGTTGAGTTGCATTCAATGAAGCAACTGAAAACTACAGATTGAGACAATGTCCACTCCAAAATCTAGGAGTTTCCATTTTTGGAAGTCCCAATGACTCATAAATATTTTTTGATTCAGTGTCCCTTCCTGGTCTTTCTCTCCCCCCACCAGAGTTGCAGAGCTAAGGCCCCAAAGCCACATATGTTCCCTCCCACTGTTTTCTTATCAGTGAAGGATGTGTAAATGCAGATGCACCTTAGGTTACACTTGGCCTTGATTTCAATGATGTTCCCTTCATCCATGAGGACTCCTCAGGAATGTTTGCAGTCCAGTGTGCCAGAGGTGCCCCATCACTCCACTGGCCATCCCTGTGCCACTAAGGAACCCCCCTAAGTCGAGGTTGCCCTTCGAATCAGGACATGCTGCTGGAACAGGGAAACTTGACATGTGCACTGTAGCTTGTCCATGTTCTTTGGAGTGCTGTACTCATCCAAAAATCTCCACAGGAACGCTGTACTTTGCCTGGAACATGCTTCCTATTCTGCTGCTACAAACCATTTCACCTGTGGCTTTATACACATACATAGGGCTTGGCATGGTCTAAAGCATTCCACAGTGTTACTGATGTGCTGTGCTTGTACGTGTGTGTGGTTAATATCTGACTTGTTTAACACTTTACTGATTTTTTAAAATAATTTTTCTTTTGTGGGGAGGGAGGTGGGAGGGAAAATTTCCTACTAGTATTCGTGTCTTGTTTGGGGTTTTTTGAAACAATATGAGGGGGGGGGAAATGCAAAAAACCCAACTATATGTTGATGATTTTTTTATGCAGTAGAAACAATACTGCTCTTTTCTGAAATACCTGCAGTATTATTAAAAATAATACAATAAAAATGAACAACCAGTAAGGTTTATGTAACATTTTACACAAAGAAAGATTCTGTTTGGTTTTGAAGGGCACAAGATTTCATCTACTTACTTGTTTTCAAAAATTAAAGGAAATGGGCAAACCCCATTCTGTGTATTTTAGTTTATATTGATGTATTTTATATGACACTCCCCTAACAAATTAAATAATCACAAGTACCCTGTTAGGGCAGACATGGCCCTTGATTTTAAATGGAGAACCGAGAAACAACAAAGATTTAGCAACTTGTTTAAACTCATCCAGTAAATCTGTGAGTGAAACAAAGTGAAGTTCCCTGATCTCACAACTTCATGCCTCTGCTATTTAATATAAATTCACATTGCAAGGGAAAAACACAGTCCAGGTGCCACCTTCCTCCCCCTCCCCACTTCTGGCTGGTTTTGTTGGGGCCTGTTTGTGTCCTGACAGTGTTAGAGCCATGCAGAGAGCAGCTGCAGGAACTGCTCAGGATGAAACTGCCCAAGACAAGCCTGTGGTTAGCTCTCAGTGCCTCCAGCTCCCTGCCAGGCCATACAGATGCTGGTGCTGGAAGGAGAATTACATCTTCCAGCTGCTACAGATGTTATGCTGGATTGAAATAACCTCCCACCCATGGCCTCAGTCACAGGCCAATGCTCTGTCCCTTTAATGATCCTTTGTACAATGATATCATGCTTTTATACACTTCTGTACACCTGGAGTGTTCAGCTCCAGGGCCTCCCAACATAAGAAGGACATGGAGCTGTTGAAGCAAGTCTGGAGGAGGCCATGAAGGTGATGAGAGGGCTGGAGACCCTCTGCCCTGGAGCCAGGCTGGGAGAGCTGGGG